GACTCGATCAGTATTGCTCCAGTGTTAGCATTGTGTGTCAACCCTAAAATAACTCAGAAATGGTTAGTAAGAGAGGGGCTGTCTTTTTGGTTTCTGTGTCCCAGTGAAGAATCAGCAGGTCCCACGGCAAAGGCAGCTCCCTTGAGGTGCAGTGCTCTTGATTGGCCCTAACCTAATGCAGATGAAATGCTTCAGAGAAATTATAAATGACAGCTTTGAGAACAGATTAGTTTCAGGCTTATTTTAAATCAGTGTTTTCCAACTTTTTTTCAGGGTGGGGGTGGGAAGAGAGGGAGGGTGAGGAGAAGAAAACTGCATTTCCAATTCAGTCATCAAGAAATTAAGTCATAGGTTTATCAGAATTACTTTGTTTTCATTCTAAGCTTGTCTAGGGTTTTAAGTGGATTTGTACAGACAGAATAGGGGCAGGCAAATCACTGAGGTGCTGCAGGCAAACACCACAGAACACTGGCAAACCAAGACAAATCTTGGGATCCCAGGGATCAGGGTATGTTTCCCACCAAGATGCAGATACAAATTTGGGGCAGGTATTATTTGATCCTACACAAATGAAACAGTTCCCTTGGCATCTGTCACTCAGCAGTCTGTTGGGCAGGCAGTGCCAAACTGCTATAATTTTGGGAAAAAATTATTTGCAGATGGCAAAAACCAAACACAGGCTTTATTGTAGGGGGGGGATCTGAGTGAAGGGGATTTTAGAGAGAGGGGGCTTATCATCTGCAGCCATAAAACACAAAAACTGCATAAATTGATGCCAGGTTAGATTATAAGAATAAAGACCATAATGCTAATTGATGCTACCTCACTGTTCAATTTACCCATGGGTTTCTGTCATCTCTTGTTTTCTTTGCGATCTCTGGTCTTTTAGACCGTGTTTGTTCAGATCCCATGCAGAATTATAGCATTCAAGGACAAATCAGCTATGTCAAATCAGCACTGAGGGTATCAGGTTTGTTATATTTGCAAAGAGGGTGTTCTCAGATTTCAGAAGCAACAGATCACCTCAATTGCTTACTACAACCTTCTTCTGGTACTTTCACTACCAAAACTCTGCTTATTTAGAGATATACTGCTCCCAGTTAACTGATACATAACTCTTCAGAATTCTCTCTGGTAAATCCTGGTAGCAGAACAAGAACACCGGTGTTTTCTATCATAATCGCAATCCCTGGCACTGGTCTCTGTGCCCTGCCGTTCAAGAGAAAGCAGTAGCATCTGCCTCCTCACCGTAACAGTTTCTGCCTCGTGGGTGATGCTGTTGGTACAGCACTCATCTTTCTTTCAGCAGTGACAGTCCTTTCCTACACATTTTCCTACCTCTTCCAAAATGTAGCCTCACTGCTCTATACCACACTAAGCCCTTCTTGGTCAGGTCAGAGCATTAATAACTTTTTCTGAAACATGCGTATTACTTTACATTTCACAGTCCACTTAAGTTCCACACACCACCAAGGGAGAGAAAATGTACCCAGCTCACAGCAGCTTAGAAAGAACATGGAATGCACTTACAACAACCTCTGTTAAGGATCCAAGGGGTTTTTTTAATATTACAGCTGATATTGTTGCAGTAATCACAACAGGCTGAGACATTCACCTTTGACTGTGACCTGAGCACTGCAAGATGCCTGTCCCATGTTGTTTTCAGCCAGACAGGTATAAATGCCATCATCTTCTGGTAGGGCGTCTTGGACAGTCAATTTTGCAACTCCATCTTCAAAAGTGGAATGTGCATACTGAATTGGTTGGTCTGCCAACAGAAAGGAAGAGAACTGTCTTAATACATCGGCCACAAGTTTCAAAAACACCTCCTGTTTTCAGTGAAATCTGGATGCCTAACACCGGCCAGTACTAAGTTAGAGTGCAGTGCCAAATCCCACTCTCTGGTGCACAGCCTCTGCTCTCTGGTGACTAGAGACAGCAGCATCTCCAGCACAAAGCAGAATATGGTTGTCAGACATATCTCACCCTTAGGTTCACTGGGTACTCCTTTGAGTAACAGCAAGAAGAGAAAGGTTTATCTTTGTATTTTGAACAAATTCTCTTTCAGATAGACATGTCCTGTGTGTTTGCTTAAGACATTGCCTCCATCTTGTATTTTGCCTGAAACTAGATATCAGTGTTATTGTCTAGATGCGCAAAACCTGTTGGCATGGAGAAGCACTTGAAGTCTTCCATCAAGTACTTTGTCATCAAAAACATTGCAAGAGAGACAGCAAAATCTACCATAGAGCCAAGAGGCTGATTTATACAGGCAGCCAGTCTACATTACAGTATGTGTAGTGTGGTAACAGGCAGGTGCAGTCTGATCTGTGGTGACGTGACTATTAAAGAAGTTAATTTTAAGAAACTGGTTCTCTGAATTGGTTTGGAACATGCTTAAATGTTAGTGCAGACTGGTTAAAGTTGCCTTTCTATTGTTTCAGGAACTGCCATCAATCTAAGTCTTACTTTCTGAAATGCTTCTGCAATCTGTTTTCCCAATATTAAATAGTTTCCACTACTGACTCATCATTGGTTGCCATCCCAGTGTATGCAGTGCTTAAGAGGGCCTGATATTTGTGCATAAACATTATGCTGTGAAAAGAAATTAATTTTAAAAGATTAGGACAAAAGCTCTGAGGTTTCTAAGAACCAGCACTGCACTATGAGCAAGTTAAATTAAATGATGGGACAAATTTTTCTCTCATCTCTGATTTTAAAGACTAGCAAACTCAGAAGGCAGTCATTATCTGTCTGTCTGCATACAAAGTTTCATTCTGCTATACATATATGTGCCAAAATCAGCATGATCCAATACTGAGATATATTATAAATTGTGGTAATTATCTTGTTCCCTTACTTGCCTTAGAAGTCATCTGTTTGTTAAGCTCGCAAATTTGCTACCGCATGAAAAACTGGGGTGAACACTGAATTAACTGCCCAGGAGATTACCATTTTAGAAGAAACTCTCTCTACCTTCACGGGTCACATGTTCTCATGACTGGCTTCTTTGAGCTCCTTTTCACTCACTCACTCACAAACTGTTCTAACTATTAGGTCCAATCACATATTTTTTGCATGCAGGAGTAATACTACATTCAAATACGTACATGTGGAGCTGAAGCCCAAGCAAACAAAACTTTCTGTAGGAGGACACAGGGCACTGAGCAGCCTTCCTGGTCTGACTGTAGAATACCTGACCTGACAGGGATCCTGTCTAGGATTCTGACATTGAAACTATTAGTGGTGCCTAACGACACTAGGATGATAACCATATCAGAAACACGCTCAGGATAAAAGCTGCATCATCAAAAACAGAACAGTGAATTTTTATTTCTGTTGTAAATAAGCAAATTTATAGGGTAAGTGTTCTAGATGGGAAATTTGGTCTTCATCCTCAAACTTTGTCTTCTTTTTCACTCCATCTCCCAACAAAACTGACTGTTTTTAGCACTATTCCCAGAACATTGAATTCACTTGCAGAACAGCCTTTTCATCAGACCCCAGAAAATAAATGTAAGTATAGCAGCCCTGAGGAATAACCTCCAGCAAGATTCTAAGTTATGTCCATTGTACTTATATTTTGATCTAATAAAAACAACTCTCCCAGTAGTGAAATGTTCCCTTCTCCAGAGGCAGAACAGTCAAATTTCCATGACAGCTTGGCAGCAGGAACAATAACAAAAAATACCTTTCCACTGGCATGTTATGCCAGAAGAAAGGAAATTTTCCCCTGGCCCATTTATCAAAAGCTTTCTGGACAGATCAGAAAGCTATCCTAAAACCAAACACTACTCAGAGAATTGTTATGCTAAAGTCATCGTCATATTGTTTTTAAATTCAGCAGAAAGAGATTCAATTCAACACTGGGGGAAAAAAAAACCCAAATCAAAACGCAGAGAATGCAATATGAAAAGGAAGATATTTAAAACACAGTCATACAGGCCTTATTCCTGCAGTTTAAAAAGAAGTTACCAATAAAGTATTTAAAGAAGTGTTTAAAGTGTTTAAAGAAGCTAAAGTTAAATACTAAAGTATGTCACAGAGAGCATGTGCAACAAGTTCTTTATAAGGATTTGGCGAGGCCAGAACTAAACCACAAGGAGTGCACTGTTGGGGAATTTGCCAGTAAATTAGTGAAAATTCAGAAAGAAACTTAAAATAAAGGGCAGAGTGAGAGTAACAGGAAAAAATAAACATCTTGAAAAAGTTGGAAAAAAGCTTTAAATTGTTAAAATAGGGAAAAAGTGTAAGAAAGAAACTGAAGATGGCAGTGCTGCAGAGAAGCGTAAGAGCTCAAATAAAATCCATAGTTCAGTCAGGTAGCTCTTATTTGTGCAGTCTCCACAAATACGAAAAAACTACTCATCATCACAGATGCTAAGAAGTAATTCTAGACAATGCACAGCAAACAACAGCTGTTTTTTGTCTTGGTCGACCTGAAAGAGAGGTCCATCTATATAATGGCTTGGAAAATGTTTTAAATTCATACGTAGCCATAGCTGGCAAAAAATGCCCAACATCTGAAGCAGTAGTTGCATGTAACATCGCACAAGAAGTAATTGGAAGTCTTTTAGTGCTCAGGTGGTGTGGATTTCTGGGAGATCGCAGGAAGGCAGATTGGACATCATACAGGCTGTTCAGTATCAAGGGCTGGCCAGCCTAGGAGTGAGACTGTTCTGCTTTTTTCCTACCGTTTTTGTTTGTTTGTTTCTCAAAGCAGCCTTCTGTTCATGTTTCTCACGATTTGTTAACTTGGTCTTTACATCCATTATTTCATCAAGATGTACACACTTTTTCACTACTCTTTTCAAAAATTAATTCTAGTTTGTTATCATTGTCATGCTTGGGAGACATTTCACATTTGATGTTTTCTCGTTAACTTTATACATCCTGTCACATATGATTTTTATGTCTACGGAGTTCTGCAAAATTCCTATATTTTGAACAGAAGTGTGATTTCTCTCAGTGGACTGCTTTTTTCTGTGCCACAGCCTATCAGTTGTGAACTTAAAAAGCTTTATATTCCAAGCATGGACAGCAGATTGTAACATATCTTTCTAAAAAACAAAGTAAGTCTGCCTGCCTCAAATTATATACTGTGAATATACAGTTTTCTTCATATGACCAGTTAATGAAAAAGAGTCCATCATGTCATTTTGCCAGAAGCATTGTTATGTCTGTTTGGAGCAATATTTCAGGACCAGAAACACAACTTTCTCCTTTATTTGGTAATGGTTATAAACACGAGAAGTTTGTAGTATCTAGCTAGCTCGACAGGAAGGAAGTGTTCACATTCAAATGGATATCACAATACCCATTTTGATTCTTAGGTAAAATAATGACCCTAGGAATGTACATGGAATTATCAGCATTAAACTACTGTTTATAATCCATTCAAGTCTGTACAAAAATGCTATATAAACAGTTCTGTATCACAATGAGATGCAAGACAGAAAAGCATTAAACTGTAGTGGCATGTTTTAGGAGTCTGGAATGAAAGTAGTGGGTTATGTCTTTAGAATAATATATGATGTCCCTAATTTTTATTACTATGATAGTTTCTTGTGCTTCTGTTACTCAGACTCACCACTGCCTTTTGGCTTAAAAGCAGAGTTAACACACTGGCTTTCACTTACAGAACCGTACTGGTTTGAACTCCTGCTATCTGAAAAAAACCCCACCTGCTTGGGGCTCCTTGTGATATTGATCCAATTGCACTTGGAAGCTTGGATGCAATGTAACATGGTTATACCCAAACCAGGGCAGACCCTTGAGATTAGTGAGAAGAAAGGTCAATGCAGAACAAACATCCTGAAAAAAAGGCAGAGGGGCACAGTGCATACTAGAGGCCTGCAGAAACATGTTGCTTATGGATCTCTAGGCTGTATTTTTGAGGAGACAACGGCTTTCTGGTTAGCAAAGCAGAGCATGGTTGCATCAATGAAGATGCTGTATCTATGCCTGGTGAACTGTAATACAGAAAGTCATTGGAGACAGGAAAATGCTCTGTAGACAACTGGGTATAACCACATCATTCAATGCCTAAGGGAACTCTTTGTGAACAGGCATATCCTTGAAACATGAAGATTAAATGACTGAGCCTCTGGGTCAGAGTTGCTCCTTCTGTGCTGCAAGACATGATTCTTGCATAGCAAAACAGCGATTCTACTCATGTCTGCAAAGGAGGAACTGCAGAGTAGCCTTCAAACAGAGAAACAAATTATTTCCAAAGGGACAGTGTCAGAGCCTTTACTCACATGTTTCATACTGTAAATAAAGTGGTGGCCTTTCTATTCTACACATGGAGCTATTGGGAAGGGGAACAGACCAGGCTGTGGGAACATACTCCTCTCAAGGTCATGGTTCCTTTTTCCTGTCACCTTTTTGAGTTATCCCTTTTACTCTGAATAGCTAAAGAAAAACAGAGATCATATGCAAATAATTAATTTTAAAACAATCCTGGAGAAAACATCTTTATGGCAAAATACACTATCTTTTGTCTTTAAATCACACACACCATATGCACACAAAGATAGATAGCCTGAGTGTGTCTGCAAAAAATCAATTGCACTTCAGGAGTAACAGAGGTGATCAGGGGTTAAGCTGAATTAATCTGGCTAGTGTTTAATAGATATGGCTCTAAATGGAAAGAGCCTTTAGTCACAGCATGTAGTTCCTGGATCTCTGAAATCATTTGGAATCTAAGCAAAACACTGATGTTTTATCCCAATCCCAACATTAAGAGGGGACCGTTAAGGAAAACTGCATGTTCAATTGTTTAATCAAAGCAGGGTAGGAGACTATACAGTCTGATGAAAGTAAAAAATAATTTAATTATCCTCCTTTTTTACTCAGCTTTGGCCAAGCGTTACAATTTCAATCAGCTGATGGAAGGGTGGAATTGGGCCTGGGTTTCCTTCCTACTGTAAAGAGTGATATACTGCACTTATTTTGCTTAGAATTTATTACCCCTGCAGGATCAGAATGCCAACCGCTCAGAGCAGAGGTTAGTGCCAAAGGAGATGGGGTAGCACAGGATTCAGCATACTACAGCAACACAGACTTGCAGCCTGGTGAAAAGCTGTGTTTAAGGAAACCAATCTGCATGCAACCTTGTCACCAGAGCCCCCTGCTGGACACACTGGCAAAACGCAGTAAGACAGAAAACAAGAAAACCACCCTTGTGTACATATTATGCGCATAGAAACAGATTTTCTTCAAGTATTCTAGTAGATTGTACTATGGTGATTTGGCGTGCTTTGTGCAGCATTCACAGCGTTGCTATGCATGCATCAGAGGGGAGTTTGTGACTGTGGATGTGTCTGTGCAGAGCAGGGGATTCCTTACCATTGAGAAGCCACGTGAGCTGAGGCACAGGTACACCTCCTACACAGCACTGCAGCACAAAGTCTTGCCCTTCACTCACAGTGCATCCTTTCAAGACACTGGAAAAGCACGGAGCAACCTCTTGAACTTTAAGCCCTTTAAAACCAAAATGAAAACAGTTCCTTTAACCCAAATTGACAATATTATCTTTACTGCTCAATGACTTTTCTAGTTATGCTTAGGTGACGTGGCTAAGCTGAGAGATTCATCCCATGCAAATAAGCAAAAAAAAAAAATTAAATCCATGGTGAAATGTTTTATTGGGAAATAGAAACTGTTTTGACCAATGGACTGGTATAAAGAAGGGGTTCTTCTATGATCTACAAGGCAGGCATGGCCAGCCCTCAAGCTCTATCTTAGATGGTGGGTTTCTATGCCAGAGTCCACCATTTGCACTAGAATTGTATGCAACATATTACCAGAGAGCTCAGTGCAAAGAACAGGAAGGATAATTCTTCCCTCCTCTTGTCTGTCTTCTCCCAATCCCTCTCCCAAATTTCCCCTGGCTGGCAGTGAAACAGGGTTAAGGATGGAGTTTACAGGTCTCTCATGAGACAGAAAGAGAGTATCTTGTGTATCCTGGTTTAACCTCAGGCACAGCAAATAGAGAAATGTTGAATAAACACGATCATAGCTCCAGGACAAAACCTAAACCCAGGTGAAAAGATTAGAATTGAGGACAGGATTTGCTAAGAGGCCAAAAAATCTTTCAACCAGACCAATTAGACAGCACCTTAAAGCTCAAAATAATTTGTCACTGGGAATTATACTTGAATTTAGCAGAATGCAATTCTCATTCCTTCGCTTTTCTTCTTACTGGCTTTACTGCACAGGACTGGTTTGTGCTCGCAAAACATTGCAGATATGCAGTGTCCTATAGAAATGCAAATCAACTCCAAAACAGAGAGAGGGGAAACCCCAAAGCTCCTCTACTGTTGTCCCAGAACAACAGTAATATCTTCAGCAACCCATATCAAATACAAGGATTAATAGAAGATCTCACTGGAAAATAGGCTTCCCTGTATACAAAACATTCACTGAGATAGCCTTAGCTATGCAGACAACAAAAACAAAAGGTCAGAAGGGAAACTGATGCAGAAAGTGGCTTGCCATCTATCCTACATCACATTATTAACAGAACTAGGAATCAGAATTAACCTGCATTGAGAAGCCTGAACAGAAATTTTGCAGTTAACACCCTCTGACAGCTTAGAAAAGCCCAACCAGAGTTTTCAAAATGCAGATGATATCACAAGAACATACTTACTTCTGACAGTTAATAACCAGCTGGTAGAAATCCGGCCTTTGGGGTTGAAAGCTGCACAGTTGTAAGATCCAGTGTCCCCCAAGCAGGCTTTCTTTAACCATAGGCAATGAATTCCATCTTCTTCATATATCTGGACATCTTCTCCAGCTTTAATAGGTTCGCCCTCTTTGAACCACTCCACATCTGGTTTTGGTTTCCCTGAAACTAGACAACCAGGTATTTGAATTTTTATGAACTGGCATTCCCCTTAGTGTAATTCCATTATTTGCTTTAGTGTCAATTAGGTTTTATTCACACATACACAATTATATAAACTTTGATGAGCAAGTAATACACAAAAACTATCTTCAAAAAGACAGTTTGATGTTTCTGATCTTCCAAAATCTCTTGGCTAGTCCATCTTTTAAAATAACAAATATTTGGTAACTTGACAATATCCAAGCGTTTCTATCAAAATATAGACTATATTTCTATGTTCTATCTGAATATTGTTCCTCTAAAAGTTGCAGACAAAACTGATGTGATGAGTTATTAGAGGAGAAAGAAAGAAATTTCTTCGCACTCCTTCCTACACTGCTAAATTGGTTTCTCTGAGCACCTAGCAGTACTTTGCAATCCACGGTACCTACCGCTGAGGTTGTTTATTCTGGGACTGTTCAGCCTGGAGAAGAGAAGGCTTGAAGAGGATCTGATCAAGGTATATAAACATCTGAAGGGAGGGTGTAAAGAAGATGGAGCCAGGCTCTTTTCAGTGGTGCCCAGTGATAGGACCAGAGACAATGAACACAAACTGAAGCACTGGAGTTCTGTCTGAGCATAAACACCTTACTGTGAGTGTTACTAAGCACTGGCACAGGTTGCCTAGAGAGGCTGTGGTCTCTCTCTCCCTGGAGATACTCAAAAGCCACCTCGACATAGTCCTGGACAACCTGCTTTAGGTGACTCTGCATGAGCAGGGGTGTTGAAGCAGATGAGCTCCAAAGGTCCATTCTGGCCTCAAACATTCTGTGATTCTGTAATTTTTTCCAGACTAGGGTCCAGGTGTATGCAAGGCAGGCAGCTTTCTAGGCCAGTAAACTTTCAGGGAGCAGAAGCAAAACAGCCGTGGCTTCACTGCCTGCTTTGCCTGTGTCAGAGCTCTAGAAAACCAGATTTGGCTCCTTGTAGTGCCGAGAAAGGTCTAGGTTTCATGGGGCAGTTGCTATGATGAGCAAAGAGGAGAGATTAGGAAAGAATGCCAGAAAAGGTCACCCACCACATACTTCTCTTATTTTCAGCAAACACAGCCCTCTGGAGCTTCCACCTTGCTAATGCTCCTTCCCAGTTCTGCCCACTTTATTAAAGCAAGAGTGCTCAGTCCTGAAGGAAGGTACAGACAGCAAATGATGGCAGGAATATCCACAACAAAGACATATGATATACTGCAGGGAAACCCTTCTGAACAGAGGTGAAAGAGGAACTCTTAGCTAGAAGCAGGACCCCATCCGATACAAGTGACTAGAAATAGGAAAACAAGGAATTACTTCTTTTTGGAAAAAAAAATAAATAAAAGAAGAAAAAAAAGATAAAAAGCAGTCCCTAAATCCAGCTCCAAATCCATAAAAAAATAGGAAGGGAGCAGGTTACCATTACATCCGCAAATGGGTATGCCCATTGCATATATTGGAAAGCACAAAATGCCCTTTTTTGTGATTTCTCTCCACTAGAATCTAGAAGCTATTATTCAGAAAAGATTCACTTTCCTGCTCAGCAGAGAAAGAGCACATTGAAATCTACAGTCAATTAGTGAAGAACAGTGGAGATGGGAGAACCTGGATGCTCTGTAGTAACCATACAGGTGCAGAAGCACTCTGAGCTGACAGCCTGGCACGTAGAAGCCTCCTGAAGGGTGTAATAGCATTTCCATTGTCCACTGCGCCCAAGGAGCAAAGGTGCCTGAGAAAGCAACCCTGGTTAACCTTTGCAGAGAGGATTCTTAGGGAAGAGTTTCTTGGACTACTTATTGAAGTACAATAAGGAAGTTCCACAGTAACTTCCCTACAGACACCTTGCCTTTCCATGTAAGAGTTTGTGCATTGGGCCCAAAGCCAAATGAAAAGGCATTCACTGGCTTCAATAAGAACAGAATGATCTCCTTGGTTTCTGTACAATATGGACTACATTTCCCTACCAACAGGATCACAAATTAGTTAAACACTGAGAAGCTTTTGAGATGCTCTGATGGAAAGCAATCCATGTTCTTAGTAATTATATACATGAAAAATAAATTATTCAAAAGGTGACAGGATCTTTGGAATATTTTCTTCCCTCCTTGCTCTCTGGGCTTGTGATATAAATTGTATTCTTTACTCATGAGGCAAGAGCTATCAAGAAATTAAATAAATTACCCCAGCTTTGCTGTCATTTTTTTTCCTCCAGAGACATAAAAACCAATTTCTCTCTCACTTGTGGGAATGCTTAAAAGTGTGAATGTTATTTTAGAAAATAGCAGAAAAAATGCTTCAAAATTATTTTCTAATATAGTTGTAATAAAAAGAAAAGAAGTGTTCCAAATCTACTCCCTTGCTTAAACAAAATGCAGCTCTCATTACTCTTCTGAGAGGTTAAAACCCGGTCAAATTCTATAGAGCAAACCTTAAACTTCTCTTTTAATTCTGACTTTATAATTTCAGCCGTTAGGAAGCACTCAGATCAGTACTGAGATGACCAAATATGAGGGGTAAGAGCAGTTGCCGCAAGGGAAATGCAGTGATTGTTTGTAGTTTCTTATCTGATCATTTCTTTGGCTTAAGGGCAATATAATTAACTACAGTTCTGGAAAGCATACCATCCATTTTTTCTCTTGCACCCTCATATAAGAGGCCCTAAAACTACCTCCTAGAAAAAACAGCACTGATGACATCTGGCGAAACCCCAGATGAGAGAAGGGACAGACACTATGGTATGGAATTATTTGAAAATTTTGTTGAGAAGAGTATTGTGGAAACAGCATGAGATTCTGCATCTATTTCCAAAATGCTTTAGGTGGAGGACAACTTGCAATGAAAAAGGAATTGCTTCCCCAATTCCACACACAGAAGAGGAGCTTGACTAACCCCAAAGCTCTGATAACCTTCATCCCTTTACCTTTGCTCTTGAATTTTATCTCCTGGCCTTCTGATGCTTCCAGACTCTGTGGACGGCTCTCAAACTGAGGGGGAACTCCCAGAGGCTCCCTCTTCTCCTCCAGTACAGCATTCTGGGCTTCACATCTGTTTTCTGCATCTCTGCTCCTTGGACTGACTTGCCCTGTCAGAGATGGGGTCTGTTGAGCTGACATGAGGGACTGCACAGCTCTTTTCCTGTCTTCACCCTGTCTGATAAAAGTGGCCTGGGGTTCTGCCTTTGCTTCTGGTTGCAGTTTGACAGCTTGTAGTGTGATGGTGCTTGAAGTTTTCTGCAAGACCTGAGATCCCTTTTTTCCTTCTTTAAGTTCTTGAGGAGACACTGCATTGCCTTCTTGGTGCTGCTCCTGCTTACTGTCTTTGGCTTCTCTGGTGATGTAGAAGGTCTCTTTCTTTGCTGAAACGACGTCTTTGGTTTCAACCACCATGTGTTCAGTGCTGCTGGATTTTATCTCCTTAGCAAAACCATTGCTAGTTGCCTGCTTGAATTCTGAATTTTCAAAGGCTTTAACAGCAAGTGTTGTTGGTTTTGATGGTATGCTGAAGAAAAACAGTAAGTTTACAGATATATGACACTGTACAAAGACATTATTATTATTATTATTATTATTATTATTATTATTATTATTATTATTATTATTGCAAAGGCCTTTAGTTTCCTTTGCACAGATTGAGACACATGGATGAAAGAGAAGTGAAAATCTTCATAAAATGTGATCAGTGCTCAGACACTGTCTCAAATGAGGAGTTTTTGGATACAAATCCACTGCTCAGGTTCTAACATGTTTAGTGAGTCAGACACTAACCTCACACACAGTGCTTTAGATACAGAGCAATTACATGATACCCTAGAATGACCATGAAGTAACACTGCTTCATGCTTTAATAAATGGAGGCCACATATAATTAGAGCTCCAAACACCACATAAAATAGTTCCCTAAAGGCAGAATTCAACATAGTTGAAATATGGGGAGTAATTTCCAGCCCAGCTCTGTTTAGCTATACTTAGAGCCACCAACTTATTCTCTCAGGGAGATTCATGGTATTTATTGTGGTACTTTCTTCAGCCAGAGTTAAATGTGAGCATAAAGCCATCTAAATTTTGCTCTCCTGAACCAGACCAGAATTCTGTATTTCATAGTGCTGCCAACAGTTCTACCAAGTCTTCTGTAGGAGTCTACCAGGATAGCTGAATTTGGCAGTAAAATAGAATCTCATTACAAGTAAACATTTTCTAACTTCCAAATACAGACTGACTCAAAGATTTATCACTTTATGAGGAAGGCCCATGCAGTAAGTGTCAAAATTAGTGCACTGCAATTAAATATTCTGAGAAAGTACTCCAGTAAAAACATACCATGGTGGCTGAGTGTAAGTTTCAGTCTTATCTGGACCTGCAATAGAAAAAGAAAAAGCAGGTAACTCATACATACAATACTGTACACAATTCCATAAATCTGAAAGATTTTAAGCAAAGAATACACTTAGAAACCTTTACTCTTCATATTTTCAATCTATCAAAGTCAAGATTTACTATCACCACACCTAGCATTTAAAATGGACAACAGCAAGCTGCTCAGCTGAAACACAAAGAGGTCTTGGTCCATTCTGACACATTGCTGGGTCATCTAAGTTCTCCAGTCCCTTGAGAACTAAAGGTTCTGTGAGCTTCAGAGGCTCCTTGTTGGGGGAGAGAAGTAAGGAAGAGATTCCAACTGGGAAGCAGCTCTTTAAATCTTATAGAAACTCCCCAGAGCTTGTAGAAGTGGAGAAAGACAAACCATCAGTACTAAATCTGAGCATTCCCACAGTGAAACTGCAGCTGTCCTCTGGCTAAAATACAAAACCAAAATAAGAGTAGTAAAATCTCCCAAACCCTGAGCCAACCTGTAAACTTTTACCAACTTGTTTACTTTGTAGCAAGTATTATCATGTTTAACATGAATAACACAAATGCTAATATACTACATTTCTTCACACCACCACTGAGAAATATGGGAACATGGCTGAGCTATATTGATTTGCCAAGGTACCTCATCAGCTGCATTGATAGAACTGAGCACATATTTGCCCACAGTCAGTCTCTTAGCTCATATCTATATAAACCTCCGTGCATTCTCCCTAACCTTGACAATATTTGTTTCTACTGGGAGTGGCACGAGATAACACATAGTTAGGAGGAGAGATATTCCACTCCAGATCAAGTACCAATCACCTCTCTCCACCTTTCCGTAGTTAACACTACAGGATGCAGCTTGTTTTCTCCTTGTTGAATCAAAGTTGCATCTATGCTGATGTCAGCTGTGAAACGAGAAACTACAGTAAAAAGATATGTAATAATGAATTTGTAAGATAATTAATTTTGCAAGTCATCAACAAATACTCCATAAAAATGATTTCAGTGTCTTTGCCTCAGGGAAAAGACAAAAATGTGTGATGGATGATACTCTGATTTCCACTGTGCTTTGCAAGTAAAAATCCACGTCCAAATGTTTGGACGTGCTGCACCATTCAGAGTGACCAAAAGAATCTATTTTCACACTCACAAAAGTTGCAGTGAGAGAGGGAAATAACCCATTGACCTCACTTCAATAAACCTGTCAATAAACAGTAACAGAAATTCTTCACATAAAAATTAAAGCTGAAAAGAGACCAGATAAATGCAGCAAAGGAAACTGAATAACTACTGACTGCAGACAAGACAATACCATGTAACACTATAAATTAAAGGAACATTATCCCCCTCCCTCTCCACTTCCCATTATGGGAACTTGGGTTAAAAAAAAGTAGCTCTTGGAAGAAGATTATCTATATATGAGATTGCATGGATTGAAAAGAAAATGTAGTAATTGTGAGCCACCTGATTGTCTGCTTGTATATTGCAGTAACTCTTATGACCTGATTTAATTGATAATGAAAGAATTAGGTATTATATATTGTGGTTAGGTAAGTGGAATCATCCGATTAGTCAAGTACATTGCAAGAGAGTGCCCTTTTTACTGACCTGTACTAATCCAAGAAAGAATGCTCACATTATTCAGAGATGTGATCAGCATCTGAAGCAAACATACACCACAACTGACTTTGTGACCCCAGTTCCGCATCATCTCTCAAGGCAGATGTACCCATTACACAAGAGAAAGCTCACCACTTCAGGGAGAGCAAGTAAGGATCAAGTTTCATGTTTAAAAAAAGGCTTACAGAACAAAATGGCCCTTTCTATAAAACATCAGTCGAATAGGCAACCTGTAGAAGCTCCTTCTACAATGGCTTCATCGGATTGGAACATATAGACAAAAAGTACAGCTTTAAGTGGTAAAGGCGAGTTGTGGTTCTGAGGACTCCAAATGCAAATCCTCTTGTTATTTATATTCTTAATATCTTACAGAGTGACAGCATTGATGTGAACCTAAAAATCTTGCATAAAATAAATCACTGCCAGGTGTGTATGTAACCCACTGATCTTATGACTGCAGCTGAAGCCAGCAGCTGTTGATTTAATTCTTTAATTTGGTGACTGCTTACCCACTCACTGACAAAATTCTGCTTCAGTGTGGTTGCTGAAGGCTGCATGATTTTGAGGCTGATGCAAAGGGCACTCTAAACTGCACAATGAACTGTATATGGTAATGCATACATGGAACAGAACAACCTAAAGTAGTTATACAAAGATATTTATTCCTTTTAACACCAGTGAAATAAGGCAGGGTTGGGAGTTGAGAAGCCTGAATTTTAATCTCACTTAGCTGTTTTTTCTCTCTTACAGTTTGGAATTATGGTCTTTTGCTTTACTTTCTTGCTTCTACAAATACAGATGCAATTTTGTATCCCAAAAGGGAGCTGGTATAAATGTGCATCTGGTGTTGGTACTCAACAAATACAAAACTGATTACTGATTATAATGACAAGTGCAAGGTTTCCATTCACTGAAATGAAAATCTATATTCAAAACATATGGAGGTCAAAATCACAGTAAAAGTGAAAAGTTGGTTTCAAAGAAAGTTATTACAAATCCTTTGGATGGCTTTTTTCCTACTGAACCAACACAGTGTTTTCAGCTGTAGCATGGTCCAAGCTATCACAGTATCATTTAATGAAGAGAAAGGAAGATAATGGGGAAAAGTCTATTCTTATACTGAGAACACAACCAAAGATATTTTAAAGGAACATCTGTGGTTCACTTGTGCTCTCTTCCGTGAACTCTTTGCTGTACCTTGAACAGTGAGCTCTGCAGACACAGATGCCTTCCCAGCGCTGTTTACCACTGTGCACGTGTAAATTCCTGAATCAGCAAGCTGAGCATTTTGGATTTCCAAGAATTGGATGCCTGTTTTCTCAAACATGTTGAAACGCTCATTTTGCTGCAGCTGAATATCACCCTGCAAATATATCAGAAGACACCATAAGACAGCTAGCTATTGGTAGAAGAAGAGGAGCAAGATATTTTTTGGTAAAATATCAGGTCAAAATGTCTTTCTCCTACCTTTTAGCCAAATTCCTTCTATGAATAATACTCAGACGGTATAAACAAAAACTGTGTCCAAAAGTGCTATAATTCATATCTGCAGGAGGCTGTTTTTCCCTGCATTTTGCCACCCACCCATCTCAATTTGGTTTTCACTTTTCATTATTTAGTATATCTACATTCCTAGAAAAACTGTCTTTTCACTGTATGTAGGCTCAAACCAGCTTTCTGTTCATGTTTGTTCCAGGAAGTCAAAAATCACACCTTTAAGCAAAAACTTCCAAGTTGGGGAATATTTTTCTGTCCCTCAATAGCTCCTTTATGCTGTATCACTTCAGAAACTGGAAAAAAATCTGCACAAGAGGACAATGGCCAGGTGGGGGGTGGCAGAAGGCACACGGCACACATTAAGAGAGGCACTGCTGCAACATAGCTCCTTTGCAGTGCTACACTGGAGTTAAACCAAAAGCTATGGCTTTGAGGCAGGCAGAAATGCAACTATGCTCTCTGTTACATAGATTAGATGGTCAGAATAACAATTTTTGCCTTTAAATTCTGGGAAATAATTGACCAAGACCTCATCTGTGAGCAAATCAGTGGTTTTGTACCAGCCATTAAAGAGGAGTCCCTTGCTCTCAGGCACTACAGCTTTTCCTATCCTAAGTCTGGGAAGCAAAATTGTACAAATCTACAATTTGTAGGGCTTTGGTCAGCAAACATTTGGGAAACACTACAGCATTTTCAGACACTGTCATTCCTGAAGTCTCTATCAACTTATTGCTACCTAAGTGCTGTAAGTCCTATTTGAATAAAAAAAGCTAGTTCATGGCAGGGATTTGGTGGTGATACAGTAGAAGGTCTTGTTCTTTGCAACGTAACAAGAAAAGGGGAAAGAAAATAATAAGCAGAGTAAGACGTTTAAGCAAAAGCTTATTCATTAGTTCTGAAAAGCACAATTTCAGTTGTTTATAAAGCTTCCATGCTATATGGAATGTGGTCATGTGTTGGTTTTGCACTATCCAGATGTGATCCAACAGCCACGTAAGTTCATTTCCATGATGCTGAGGCAAAGTTGAAATACCCCCCACTCAGCAGGACCCTGCAGAGCCATCTGGACATGACCAGAAGCATTGAGGGCCTGAGTTTGTTTGCAGCTTGCCAAAGCACATGCGTGATTACCTGTTAATCCATGTCTTACAAACAGGGATGCAAAAATGTGCTTTGCAACAACAACCTGCTGATAAAACTCTGATAAAGAGCAACAACACATTTGCACTTTATAGAGTATGTGAATTATTGAAAGACAGCTTCATGGTGCTCAGAACAGGTGCTAACACAATATTATGAAAGCCTAAAGAAAACCAGTTTAGCCAGAAGTGATGGATTGAGGATAAATTCAAGAGTGTGCCGTGGGTGTCTGCAGGCCAGCAACGGTATGGCTACTGAACCTCTGAACAACACACCTGTGGTATTTTACAGAATAATATATGCAGACCTGCAACTGTTGAAATAGGTTTTTAAGGACATAACCATGAACAGAACTCACTGAGCTGCTAATAACAAGAGCTTTGCATACTTCATTCATTTGATCACACAATGAATGCGAGATAACAGAATGACACATTATAAAAGCTGACAATCAATAGCAAAATATATAATATAACCTCTAACAAACTGCAAAAACATGTATTAAGAAGTACCAAAGTGTAGATCCAAGCTTCTGGATTGCTAGTCCCTACTTGCTGTTTACCACACAGCCCTGAACAAAGAAAACCAAATGATAAATCCTGTTTTGCACTGATTTGCATGGCTGGAGAACCTGAGTGAATCTGGTAGGACTGGGAGCAGGCTGTTGTGGAGCAGCTGCTTTGCAGGCTGCTTAGAGAGCCAGCAGGCTCAAAAGGACAGAGGAAAGCTGGAGGGAGAAGCAGACTCTACAAGGAGCCACCAATTGAAGACTGAGATGTCTTAGTGAGTGCTTCTGCAGTAAGAGGCTGCTTGTTACCTGAGATGTACCCTGGCACTGTATTACAGACAATGAGGATAGGTCTGGAATAAAGCAGACGATGACTTGGAACCATTTCCCTGCACTATGAGAAGTTTTCTGGAGGTTTTTGTTCCCTTCTCCCAGAAAACCCCGAGACACCATAATAAAAGAAAAGCTCTGAGAAAAGCTTTTTCTTTTTACTATACATAACACAACTATCTGTTGAAGGCTGAAGGAGAGCAGGCTGTCAACAGAGCAGTGATATATTTGCTCTTCCAAATTAAAGACAGTAATTGTAATTCTCTAAAATACTAATAGTTCTGGTAAAAAATAGCATAATCAGTGTAATGTTTAATTATCATCTGAAAGCTCTCTCCTCACTAACAAAAAAAAGTGGTTGGAGATCTTGTGTATACTCAAAGGGGGCACTAAGACTTAAGTCTTCAAAGCTTTTTTAATAGTCTAATGAATTTTAAATATTGCTCATTTATAAAGCTTTTTTTGTAAATTAAAGTTGCTCACAATTCCCAATTTTAATGCAGATCTGAAGTTGACAGCTCAGGTCTCCTTTATGTCAGATACTTTTCTGCTACCACTGTTTTAGCAGAGGTCAGACTGAAACAGTTGAACTCTTGTTCATCTGATTAATTTTTTTTAATTTGCAAAAAAAAATTGTGCGTGCCAAAACTCGATCATATCTGTTAATTCCTAAACTGTTAATTTTATTTTCAATTTAATTCATTGGGGTTTTTTTGCAAACATCATCTTCATTCTAATATGCAGGTAAAACCCAATGTGAGTGATACAGAAAAGGCAGTTTATGACTGAGACACTGACACAGAACTTGGGAAATAGAGCTGTAATTTTCACAGCTGTGAGAGACTCTGTAACCAGAGTCAAAGCATTAAATGCCTGCAGACCTTCTCTATAAAACAGAGATGATGATAATGTTCACATTTCCCATCCTTTGTCTATTTCTCTCCTCTAGTTAGTAAGGTCTTTGGGCAAGTATGCTCCATACTCGCTAATTTTATACTGGAACCTGGATCTTGTTTGGTGCTTTCAGAGAATTTTTCTGTACAAGTATTTTCAACAATGACACAGATAAGGGAGAAGTTTATACGGAGAAGCAGCACTATTATCTTTAGCGAGTTCACTGAGTGTAAAAATGAGGAAGAATATGGCTCTCCGTGCATGTAAATTCTCAGCATGGTAATTTTCGGTGGCATGGGCATTTCATCCTTTCAAGTCACAAAATTTCAAAAGAGAAAGAAAACAATTTTTTTGAAATCATACCTTAAACCAAGTTACTTGAGGCTGAGGTCGTCCTGTTATTTTACATGAGAATTTGCCTGTTTGGCCTTCACGCACAACAACTCTATTGGGTTTTGTAGCAAACTTGGGTGGACTCTCTCCCCAGATGCTTGGCCTATGCTCCACAGACGGAACAGTAATTCTTCCCCTGGAAAGGCAAGTGACATCCTGGTTTGACAGAAAAACTGGAAGCTGGTGTGGTTAGAGCACAGTTCAGGAAGCAATTTAGACCATTGGTCTGCCAACAAGGGTATATAATTGGTGGTAACCAAGACTGTAGTTACACAATTATCTTTTTGGCTAATGGAAGAAATGGAAATGCTGGTCGTGACTGCTGTTGACTCCTCATGCAGCTGAACAGCACGATGCTACACACCCTCATCCAGCACACACATAACAGAACCTGGGAACATTTTCAGTTGCTTATAAGCAGAGCTGGGCAAGCCAAATAATAGGAAACACTGCGTGCATTTAGTTTTGCTGTTCCTTAATTGCCACCTAATAGATTACTTGTGCGTACTTGTTCACTGTTCACAGTGCTTTATCATGTGACATTTTTTGACACTGAATGCAATGACACAGTAATTTCTGATTTATGAATCAGCAACTTGCTTCTGCAACATTTCTGACATGCCCTAGTAAAGATTTTTGGTTTGGGGAAGGCTTCCATGTGAAGTCTCATTCACTACAATGTTTGCAAAGCAAACATGAAAAGGGCACAAAACCAAAGTACACCCACCCTGGGCAAATGTCTGTAATTCCCAGCTCTGCTTAAATGGATGGCACAGCTGGAAAATGACATGTGGAATGAAACTGGAGTGACATCAGTGTCTGCAGTCCAAAACCCTCAGTTACACAGCCATAAAACATCAGGCAGTATTATATCAAGAAAAAAAAAAGGTGCAACTTGGTCTGTTAATGTTAAAGGGAACACTCACACTCTTCTCTGAAGCACCGGTACAACAAAGACACGCATTAGCAGATGGCAGATGGTGATTTTACTTTTTCTTGGTAACCTTTAATTTCAAGCAAATTGAACCATTTTCAAGGCCTTCTTTTCCAGATGGCCTTTTACCACATGCAAGTAAGATGTGTCAATACCTCACCATTTGTACCAGGTGTCACATACTAACAGAGGCCGCATTGCCTTAGTCCAGGGTGCTGCCAAGACATGATGGTTGCCTTATAGGCAGCTTGAGGTTTCTGAGTAAGAGATGATACCATAATGAAAGAGTTTACATGGACAAGAGGACCAGCAAAAACTCTTGAGAGAGAAAAGTGACTGTAATATGCTAAAGTAGTTCTGCTTAAATTCAAGCTTCCTATAAAGAAATTAACTCAGCTGTCTTAATTAGGTCTGAGGCTTTTAAAACAGAGTCATTCACTTAATTGTAAATGGTTACTGAAGTGCAGAAAGTACTCTTCTGTGTGACAGCATAGATCACCCCATCAACCCATTCTTGCTAACAGTTACCCCAAACCTGAACAATTCTTTCTTCTGGACTACAATTTACCCACTGTGTTGTTTGGAAATCCTTAAATTAGATGTGAGAGGATGCTGATTTCAGTTGCTTTTATTTCTTACTAATGACTTTCAAAGCAATATTTGCTCTGGCTTTATAAAGAGACTGTCAGGTCACAGAGCAGAGACAAGAGGGTGCAATACTGCAGATACCAACACAATGTTCTGTTTTCAGCCAGATTAATTCCTATCACTATGAGGGAGCAGAAGCTGTTTCAAATTACTTATGTCTTCCTGACAGCCTCAATCATTTTACTAACACAGTGGCTCTCATAGTAGCTATTCTGCTTGAGATAAATGGAGATTTGAACTTAGAGAATTTGAATTCACAAATATCAAAGTGTTTGTTTTCAGATGTTGCTGTAGCTGGCACTGCTCTACCTGTGAAAGCCCAGACACTCTTGCTATCCCCATCTCACAAGTGTGAGAAGTCATGCCAAGCAGTTACTCTATTCCAATGCAATGCTGTGCCGAACCGAGCCTTTAACCACCAGGCTTTGCTTTCCTCCATTACCTATGATTCTTGCACAGGTAAGGAGCCATGAGGAATTACTGAGAACTGGACAAGAATCCAACTCTTTAGATTGGCCCTCAAAGTGAGTCAGAGCTAAAGACAAAATGCAAGAGGCACTTAAAATGTGGTGAAGTGGCTATTCTTTAGAAAGAGTAATTTTACTTGTTTTCCTACCAAAACACATTTAGATGTCTGTTAAACAATATCAAAGCCAGTGGATTTCTTACCCAAGGGTTTTGGCACTGGATGGCAGGCTGTATTTCTTCAAGGAGTTTCCTGTAAGCACAGGACAGAAAGGCAGGAAGTCAGAAGTCTTGTGAAGACCACTGCGAATTACAGAGACTCAAGACTATGCAAAATATGCACTTCTCCAAGTTTCAGACATAAAGGAGGAATGCAACACCTGCAGTATAAGGTTATGTCATCTGTAGTTGAAAGTTAGGGTCTCTGATTTCACCATCTAACCTCTGGCCTCAGTAGTAACAACACTGCCGATTATTAATGCAAATGTATTTTTTAAACAAGTGTCTAATTCCTACAGCGCAGCAGTAACCCAAGATGGCAAAAAGGGGGGTTTGGACTCTGAAAGAGGTCTTACTTTACTTGGTTTTTTTAGTCTTGTTCTACCACAAACTACCTGTACTATCTGTACCTGTATCTATATCTTTTACTATCTGTAAAATTATTCTTTTTGAGGCGCAACAGTTCCTCACGCTAGCTGGTGTGAGCAACGGGGAGATGTGAACGAAGTGGTGTATGCTCAGCGCCATCTACTGCACACTGCACTCTCGGTAGCTATGGCACATTAAAAAAAGGGTGGTAACCCTGGGGTAGATCCAGTCACATCATGAAACAAACAGCTCTGACGGCTGTGGGAAAAAATATTGCTCTAGAGCCTTAAAAGAATCTACATTACTGTCAGATAGGACAGCCATGCAGGACAGAAAGACTAGATTGTGTTTCAGTCACTCATTTTTTCAAGTTGCAGAGTCAGCCCCACATAGGTATCTTTGCTGAGAACAGAAGATATCAGTGCTTTGCTATCTTGATGCATCCAGGGATTTTTAGAATAAAGAACCACTCTAAAACTCTGAGAAATTCAGTCATTGGGTACTGCCATGAAATTGCTTTTAAACTGCAGCAAAGCCCAGGTCAGAAGAACTGATATAAAAGTAGCTTTAAAAAACCCTCCACCTCCATGTAAGTTGTCACTCGTAAAAGTTGTCTCAACTTGAAATTAGGAGAAAAAAAAGATTATGCATAATTTTTAGAGGAGAAGGCAGTAACAATCATGCCAGATCTATGCTAATTTTAGTACGTACTCTGAGGATATCTGTTAGATATTTTAACTCTGAATAAACCCAAATGCTGATTGCTTCAGGACTCCTGTGGATTTTTGCTTTGCTTCAAGAATTCAACACGAAGTTGTGACCTGAGGAGCTCTGACATTCAACAGATCTCTGACATGAACAACTCACAAAGAGAGAAGCAGTACAATTGATTTCCATCTTTCCCTGGCTTTGTGTCACTCTTTACATTTTAAATTTGGCAGTTTGCAACTATCTAATATGCAGATGTTCTCTTAAAAATTCCTGGGTTTGATCTTGGCTATTTTCTGTATGACATTAAACATGCAATTACAACCAGGCATTCAGCTGAGCAAATGGAAGCATGCATGGAGAACTCCAGAAACCCATTGCCTCAGTGTGCCTATATGTCAGGCTGCGAAGCAACCAGGATCACTTCAGTTTTTACTGCCTGAGAGAAAATGCTAACTTTCCAGGCCTCTGTTTCTGTCCTGAGTGGTGGCTTCCATTAAAATTCAAAAGTTTACAGCAAAGTCTTTAAAGCTAGGTCTTTCGTTACCTGGGTATCATCATACAGATCGGAAACTGAACACACACTTTATCTATAGACATGTAGTTCCCTGCAAAATGTCTTAAACTGTGAAATGCAATTAATAAATCTTACTCTTGCACCAGTGAGAAAGCCTGTGTGTACAGCTGTGATTTTAACAAGACAGTTTAACGCAGCTCGTTCATTTAATTAAACTTTATAATCATCGCAACAACAGTGTAAGTATCCTCTCACCTTCCACTGTCAGTTCCACAGTCACCTGACGAACCCCACCATCATTTGCAGCCTCGCAGGTGTATTTACCACCATCACCTTCCTGCACACCCTTGATTACCAAGCTGAATATCCCCCGAATGCTGCGGTCCACGACATAATGGTCTCCCTCTGGGACAGGATGCCCATTTCTGTACCACGTGATCTGAGGCTCGGGGTAGCCTCTGACCTGGGAAAGTGTGAGAGAGAGTGCAGAAAGAGGGCAAACATAAGAGATGATGATATTAGGAAGAAATGTTGGACATTTAGCAATGCAGCGGAAAGTTCTTGACACAGGAGCTGTTAAACACATACCCTTTGCAAGCCAAATGTCAGAACATAATGAAATGAAAAAAATTCTTGGGTAAGTCAAACTGCTAAAATCCTAAGACTAGTCAGGCAGAAAGATACTTACACAGAGAAGTTTCCCACTAGAATGGTTTACCTGCAGAAGCGTAGTGATGGTGCCACCAATGAATCCTGACACCTGGGTCCCCAGTGTTCAGAGACTCAAGGGCTGTAGTGCTATTGTACCTCTAAGTATGAAAGACTGCAAGGTATCTAGACCAAAAATTTCTAGCATGGTTGCTAAGGATTAGGCTTATATTGTAAATCTGTATGGAGCTGTCTAGTGTTCAAATGTGCTGAGATATAGTAGCTCCTGACAATATACAGGCGAGAAGCACAGACACATAGGAAATTTTGTCTTGATCTTTAAAAGCAGAAGATAAGGAGTTGCAATTTGAGAAAGTGTCATTAAGGGTCATTCTCATGTTATGGTGGTAAGGGGACTTTAAAGACCTAGCCATATTCACACAAACTCATTGCTCAACTTAAAGAACTTTGTGGTCTACTGGTAGCCCAAAGAAGAGTTTTCAACAAAATGAAGCAGTCCTGCTCTGATAAAATAAAAACCATATTAATATATCCTTGCCTGCTATGGCATTAATTAAACTTTCAGATTTGCAGGCAGATTCTCAGTTGGTATAACTGAGAATGGAGTTACTGATTTCAATTGAGCTGAGGATCTGTTTTTTAAAAAAAATAAAAATCTGAGGTTTTGGGGTTTTTTTAAATGGAAAAAGCAAACATACATCAGTTTCCACCAGAGAATTAACTCTTCAGGTAAAGGTTCTTCCTCTGCTTTATGAAAGGTGCCATCATCTTTGAAGGTCACTTTAGTATGTGTTAACTGTTAGCACACCACCATAACAACTCCTGATTACAGTACTCCCCACTTCTTTCTTATTCCCCCCCTCTTTAGCTCTCCATCTCCCCACTCTTTGATCCTTTGCCTACATATCATAAAGTAACTGAGTGGATCAAGATAAGCCGGGATGAATAACAGTTGTAGCTGTGTTTGCTCACTGGGAAAGGAGCAATGTTGCATTTTGAACTATGTTATCAAATCTTGGCAACCAAACAGGAAGTCCCTTCAACCTCCAGGTGGGCAAAATATTGACAATCTGTCTTGATTTGAAGAAAGCTTGGTTGTGGCTTGTGCAAATTCCTCCAAGCATTCTCCGCTCAGTTTCCAACCCACATCTCTGCTTTCTTCTGACTGCACAGCACTTACTTCCCAAATTACAATCTTTAGCCAACCAACCTTACCCATTCTTAGGTTCTCTTCTTTCAAAACCTTTCATTTTTAATCCAGCCCCACTTCACTCCATCTGGGTTTCTCATTTGTTGGAGCTTAACCTACAGCTGTCAGAAATTTTTCTCTTTCCTTTAATTCCTTGGGTATCAGTGCAGACAAATTAATTTTGCCAGTGATGTGGTGACCTCTTCTTCTTGTCACTACTTACTCAGTATATATGAGGACATCAATGTTTGCCAAGAACTTGAATATGCTGAATAAGCTGGAGAAACTTTCCACCTCTGGAACAAACTTCTAAAGTTCTTTCTGAGTCTATATTTACCTAAGTAAGAGCCATGGTTTATAAAGAATACACTGTGGGATCCTGCACAATGGGGAGTCAATTGCTGTTTAAAAATACCACAGGAGTGGTACTCCCAGGAGTATCCTTGTCAGCACATCTCATTTTCAGAAAAATGGAGTTGTGAAGGAACAAGATGAGATTTTTGCAGTTGTGTAACTCTTGTTAGTTGATAATGTGCTCACCGGTACAGAAAGTGACTTGTGCCAAAGAACTGTTTCTTACTATTAACTTGTCAATGCCCTCCTACCTATCTTTTTATTTCAGATTAAGAAACCAACAAAGACATTAAATGACTTACACAAACCCAGAAAGTATATTACAATGGTGTTTCTACCTCTTGTTTTTGCTTCACTGGATATTAAGATTTGAAGATATAAAAAATTTGAAATATTTGAGGCAAAATGGCTTTGAAACTGCTATTTCAAGTAATACAATACAGTAAAATGACAAAGTAGCACTTGAATTGGTGTGAAGAAAGAACCACCTCTTCAGTGCATAACATCACAACCTCTTTACTAACATTAGACTAGCCACATCTGTTTACAGCTGCTGAGATTCTGGCCTGTGAATACAAGTCATCAGTTACACATCACCTGATATCTTTACTAGTTTTTTCCAGTTCACAATCATTCCTTCTGGTATTTTCTTTTATGTTCAACCCAACTTCAAAGCTCCAAAGCATAAACCTTCCATCACTTCTCCCAGGGAATAACTAAAGTTGAGGCAGCGGGAAACACCTTCTGTCAACTTTTTCTTTTTGTTTTATCCTACTCTTAAGTCCCCCTTGGACCACACAAGGCCATTTTCACCTGACCCTCAAGCTCTGGTAGACAATTATACATGCCCTTCCAGTATCACATGGCTGAGCCTACATTAAGTATTTTTCCATTTCTTCCATGTATGTCTATTTTATGCTTGCTGTGTCTGTATTATTTTGTTCATACACACCTCTACACTGAGGAAATGCCACACAGAAAATTTCAAACACAGGCAATCAGCATGCCATTTTCTTTCAAAAGGTTGAGTCATTCCCTTCCCAAACTCTGTATTTTTTTTCTTTCATTTTTTGTCAAAAATGAAATTATGGGAAAGCAGAAGTTTACAGAATTGCTCTGTTGCAAGGATTTATTTCAGATTTAGGTTTGGAATGCGTTTCAAACTGAGCCAGCCCTCTCTGAAATACATAGTCTTGCCATAAAAGTGTCAGAGACCCTTAAACGAATCACTGGTTACTAGGTTTTGATCCTAATGGATCAATTCCAGAACTGCAGCAGGTTTTATATTCCTCTCTAACCTTTCCAGAGCTCACTAAAAACATCTGCCTTGAATAAGTTCACAGCAAAGAGAAAATTATCTGCTTATTTAATGCCCAGCAGCAGAAGGCTATAACCTTTATTTACAGCTTGGCCTATGTGAGTATTGCCAGTCCCAACGAGGCTACAGCTTTTCTTTACCTGCTCTACAGCAAAAACAAGGGGAAAACTGACAGCAAGCAGCAAATAACCGTTGTATTAGCACAAACATGAGTTTGAGTTTTTGTCTGGACCTATCAGCTGCTTAGAGTCTTTTTGGAAAAGTCTGCTAAGGTGAAGTAGACCTTCTGCTCCATGCATCAACATAGCAAGTGGAAAGATCTGAGTGAGAACCTGTTACCTGTAAACCTCTAGAGTTAAGATTCACTTCTGCATCTAGGTCTGGGGGAATGCTACTGAAAAACGATGGCGCCAGGTTCCAAAAGAAAAGAAATAAGGAAAAAAAAATACATCAAATCTATCGAAACTGTTCACTAAAGGACAGTATTATTCAAAAAGAATGCTGCTAGAAACTGGGCCCCATTGTCACAAACCTAAAGGCATTCAGTGACCACTAATGCCAAATATATTCTGTGAAAGTTTTTCTTGTTCAAAACCGCAGAAAAGATTTTCTGAAACTTGGGCTATATCTATGCTCTATATGAAAGAGCTGTACCAATTTCAAAAAAAGCTAAGTCTATCTTCTTAAATGTAGCAGTAGCAGTTTAGAGCAATAAGATGCATTCTTTTGGCTCACACATTTAACTTCAAAGTCAGAAAGAGTCAGTCATAAGTGACAATAAACCAAAGCGTAAGTAACTGTAAAACACTGATGGGGTGTGTACTGCTACTGAGTGTTGCGCTACTGGAAATGATGGCAAATGTGAGATGATGTATTCTGGCATTATATTCACTATACTGATGAGGTGTTCAGTGCTTGATGTTAAGGACTAGACAAATGTCCCGTGTTGCTGCTCAAGGTCACATCAACACAGAAGCAACGAGATCAGAAAGAAAACAGCTACCACAAGGATGTCTTGGGCATGGTGGTATTAGGTTGACGGTTGGACTCAATGATCTTGAAGTTCTCTTCCAACATTAATGATCCTGTGATTGGTTTACAAAATCCCCTCAGATTTCATCATATACAGAGAGGCACATCAAAAGTTGTACTAAGACTGGCAATCATACAGCTGTTCTGAAGTTGCTATTCAAAGTAACTCTGCTCACAGATGATTTCATATGCTGCAATATGAATTCCACTAATGACTGAAATTCCTCTCAAAAGACAATCTTTCTCCCACGAACTCAGAATTTCAAAACATCCAGATTCTGTCAGCACACAGTGTTCAGCTATGCTGCTACTTCTGTAAACTACCTCAGCCTTTAACTCCACAAAATCCAGACTGAAGACCTATGTAAGTAAAGCATTCAATAACTGGATAAAAGAATCAGTTGTATTTGGGTGGTTCAATCGATCTGAAAAAAATTATTTTTTACTTATCTTTGAAAGACAGAAATATTTTCTATTCAACTTTTTATACTTTGCACACTATTTAAAATGTAGCTTTCAACCCAATTTGCATACCTTGCTGCTATTTGAGGAAGAGTGTCCCCTCTGTAGGCTGTTAAAGAATAACAGGGTATAGTAGGTAGTATTTAAAATCCTAAAACAAGCAGGTTTGCTGCTCCTGCAGCCAAGTGACACTGCTTTTTGACAACTGGTTGTCAGTGAGAACTTGGTATCACAACTGCTCATTTATATTACAGAATATATGTCTTAGAGAAAATGTATGGACGTTTTTGTTGTTTTAGCTAACATGCACTAATAAAAGGCTATGCAAAATTAGACTTTTCCACTTGTCTTGAGACTTACAGGGATATGCAGCCCTTGAGGCTATTAAAAGTTATGCTCTTAGCCTGTACCTCGTTCATTGCAACACCGTGAAATGATT